GACGACAAAACCTCATCTGACTCTTAAAATGCATTCGAGTATTTTCTACCCATGGTTCCTTGTGCCAGAAGAGCGTCAGAGTACGAGCAGAATGCATCGCGTTTCTACTAAATCCTCACTGCTCATTTGGAGTGATAGGAAATATATGGGAATATAAAGGATATCTTAGGTGGAATATTCCACACAAAAGTAAAAGGCAAGATGAAAACGAGATGCTTCCCCTGCCTCCATGTGGCTTTAAAACGAGGTCCTTACCGTAGTATTTCACCCCAAACAGTCGATTAGTCAAACTTTAAGCTGCTGATCTTCAATGCAGCTGTCCTAGAAATCATGTTTTTATTTTTCTCAGAGTCCATACCTTTTTCTTTTTTTTTTTTTTCAAGTGTGCTTTTTACTCCAGGTTATGGTTCCAGCATGCAGAGATCAGTTTACTCTACAGATGTCTTAAGACCGTGTGAATATGGCTGCACGCGTCAGCCTTCAGCCCCAAGTGCTGCATTGTCTTCAGGTGATGACACTTCAACGCCTCTTTAAATTAGCAATGCTGCGAGTAGAATCATACATGGGACATTAGAGCAAATAATCCCCCCCCCCCTAAAAAAGGAAGACAAAAGTCCTTTTAAGAGTACTGACACACCTTGAACTCTGTAACACAAGTCTTAGTTAGCGTGATAAACTGTGACTTGGCCACCATTCAACAAAAAATAAAATCATATGTCTTTGTGAGGCTCGTCAAAAAAGATTCTGAGAATCCGCTGCGTCCTCAAAGTGCAGCACAGGAAAAGAATCATATTGAAGTGACAGCGAGAGCAAACTGGCACATGACGGAAAGTTGACGTCACATGCAAAAATATCTCAATAGAATCCTAAATCATGAAAAATACCAAACGTATCTATCCTTTTTAAAAACTGGCTCGCCATTATTTTGAAATTACTTTTAAATTTCCGCAGTAGGAATCTATTAAATCAAGCCAAAGTCTGACACAAACTCCAAATCTGAACTCATGCAGACAAGCGACCACCAGACTTAGCGTTATTTTGTCCCTGAAACTGGTTCTTACTAACTTTCTCTGTGTGTCTCTTGTTTGGGAATCCACTGTAGCTCCAACAATGTTGCTTGACTTAAAGGAGATCTATTCTGCTGATCCATATTTGAATCCATACATATAATGGTACGATGTTGGACGTTCATACTAAACCTCTGTGACCATTTTTTCAAACACACAATAAAAAGTTGTCAGCGTAATCCCCGGACGTGGTTTCCTGTTGCTCTGAACGAGACGTTACAAGAACTTTACAAGACAGTTCTGGCCAAGTATCAGAGCAATCAGGACAGAAGCCCATCCAGAAGCTCTCTAAAAAATTCCCTGCCGCTGTAAACTGAGCTGGCCAGGGAGTTGGGCCTTAAAGAGACAGTAGCTAAAATTAGGCAGAGGCTGAAATGAGGGATTTTACTGACACTAGTATCAGATAAATAAGGAGGTTTTTGAGCTGCAGATCTTGCAACACAACTCAATAGGTGTCCCAGACTGACGTTATTAAAAATGAATGTGAGTATAATAGATCTCCTTTAACAATTGAGGCAATAACCCGTTGTGTCACCTTTGGCATTAATCAAAGCTGAGACTTTTTGACCGATTCTTCACTGGCAATGTATACGTTACTTTTACATTTCAAACTAAGAGGTCATTAAGTCGACTCACATAGGTTGCTTTGAAAACTTAAAGGGAGACACTGCAGGTTTCCCTACTTTCAGTCATACGATTGTTTGCGACTTTAAGCAAAACGTTGGTACCTGATCCATAATCACCTGGATTACCTTTTCCACTAAGTGACTGTGACTCACCATTGTACCCCATGAACACAGCTATGGCCTCTATAAAGTTACATGACATGTTGGCATCAATGACACCCGTATCATGAGTATGATGTGCTGTTGGCTCCAAGTCGGAATCGAACATGTGACAACCTGTGTTTGCACCATGGGGCTTTTATCCCTCTCAGGGCTGACACGCTCTAACAGATCCTCCCAAAAATAACCCAAAGTTGTGTTGATTTGTCACAAGAGAATAATCTTGTGTTTTAAAGATGCACACAGCTAATTGAGAAGTGACTGGAGCCATTTACCTGAGCAATGAAACCAGGCAGGGGGGGATCTGCCCTTTGTGAGACGGCAGTTTACCCAACAGGAAACATTACAAAACTACAATCCTGTGAGGAAGTGAGTGTACGCTCTTAAATGTACCTACAATCCATGACATACTTTGTTAGATGCATTCTATGTAGGATGTATTCAAGATTTCACCTGAAAAATATCAGACAGCGGCATCTTTTGTACAAAACAAACAGCTGTTTACAAAATTTTAAAAATAAGAGAATGGCTCACCTGTGTAAAGTATTATAGACTGTATATGAAAAGTGGACTCAACCACCACTACAGCATCTCTTAGTTTGATCACCATTTTGGCTATTGCCATGTTGCTTGGTTTCAATCCAGATGGGACCATATTTGGACTAAACAGAGAAACTGGAGACTAAAAAGAGGTAACTTTAGCTATCACCATTGCTAGCTTCGTAAGCGAGCTTGCAATGGTGATTCATTGTAACTGAGATGAACTTGTTTGCTTAATTCGGCCAATGGGACAGGCAACTCCTCCTGAGTGTGTTTTTAGAACAACCCAACCCTGGAACAAGACCCTTTCAGGTTGCTATGGTTATGACATGTCAGGCACATGGAAGTCTAGCCTTAAGCTTTGTCATTTATTATACTCTAAATTGGTGTGTATTTTGGAACATGAGGATCTTAAAACTGGTGATTGAGACCATCAATGCATTGGGAAGATTTTGATTAAAAGTAGTGGTTGGAGGCAATGCTGCAACTTCTTTATATTTAAAAACCAAGCAGTGCTGTCCACTTCCAATAAAGAGTCTATGATGACTTTATACGGACATGGATCCCTGGTTTTTAGCCTGATATCGGCTCAGTTGGGATTGTGTATTGGGTAGCAGTGCATCCCTATGACATAATATACATCTAATGAGCAGATAGCTAGATGTGCTGTGTGTTTTTTTTTTTCAGATTGGTAGCTAGCTAACTCTCAGGAAGCTGTGTACACAGTACTGTATTAAAGGCTCACGTTGGAAATGACGATCAACAAACACAAACGAGTCGGAACCTGCAAGTGAACTTAAAAGCCGATGCTCCTGTGACGTGGTCATGGCTCACGAGTCCAAAGCATCACCTGCAAGTGAAGAATCAGTGTGACACCTTTGGGTTGAGTAGAACGACTCTGGTTTTCCAAGCTGGGCCTTTAAGACAATATGAAAAAACAGCCCTCATGCTGAATCAAACGATGCTGTCCATGCAGGCTGTGCACAAACCTTGGCCTACAGCTATCAACCATCTTAGAGCAGGAGTGCTGGGCTCTCATTAGGAAACGTTTCTTTTACTTTAACCTTGAAGTAACTGTGCAAGCATATGAAGAATATGTCACAAAACGATTGAAACACGATCTACAGTCCGCATCCATTTGGTAAAGCAAGTCTTGCTTTGATATGTACGTGATCATTCGTGAAAATAAGCGCACTGGCTGGGACATGGGCACGGAGATTTTTTAAAGTATGAAATGGTAAAGATGGAGCTTATGTCTCTCATATATTGTGATTTAGACATCTATAGCTTGCATCTCTCATTTTGGGATACTATCACGGGCCCAGGACGTGTTTCATGTCAAATCAAGAAAAAGAACAAAAACAGCCCTGACACCCACATAAGTGATCCCATCAGGCCATCGAGGATCATAACCTGATCACCGGTCTGGTCTCCGTCTCCGGGTTTCCTGAGGACTTGACGATGAACTGAAAAATACCTTAACAAAGGAACTGACGATATACCTTAAAACCCTGATGAGCACATATTTGTACCACTCCAGGTGCCTCTAAGAACTCTTGATTTATTTCAGATGTGGTGCAGAACCAGCAAAACAAGTAGTGACACCGTAGTTTTTTCTACCGAAGACTACATACTCTGACTGAGCTCTGAAGCAAGGTGGTTTTTTTTCTGCAGATTTGAGGTCAATTCAGTTTCAAGTCCAATTAGAAGGACTTTTTTTTTTTGTTCCCAAATACTACGCTTGATTCCTAAAAAAACATTTTGATATGTGGGAGTATAATTGGTTTTCCCTTAATTTCCAGTTTGTGATTGGACTCCGGAGCTAAATTCACCTCAATCTTAACTTATAGAATCATAAAAAGAAAAGACTGAAAATGAATAAAAAAGGACACAGAGATGACGGGAGGTCATCTCATCTCCTGCAGCAAACAAAGTGTTTGCTGACAGTGCAATCTGTCATTGATCTGTCAATGATTTTATCATAGTTTTTATCATGCAATATCATGTATAAAGGCATCATGTTTGGGGGGGGGGGGTCAGGACAAAGAGGAATCACGTCCAGTGAATTATGTTATGTTAATATTTGACTTTCTGTTATCTCCTGAAATGCAGACGTTGCCAAATTATCATCAACTATCATGTATAACCATGAAAAAAAAGAAATATTCAGTTTGGTTTTGTATAAGAAAAGAATGATATACTGATATTGTCAAGTACTTCTGATGAGCTCTATGTTTTTATGTGTTGAATACAGAATCTTTCCTTTCTGTTCTGCTTTACTTTCTCTGTATCTTTTGGTACGATGATGATGTATGATGATTGTTGTTCTGTCACATCAGACTTTTACATCGCAGATTCAAACCTTGACTCACCAATGGATGACTGCTTGTTGAAACCTCAAACAGCCCAACAATGTATAAAAAAAATGTCTTATTTATAAAGTTGCTAAATTTGTGGACAAGTAGGGGCCGAGACGCTTGTTGCTTTTCATGAATTATGACGACATGCTGAGTTTTTTATTTTTATTTGAAAAATTCTGTCTGATTAATTCCTTTTTTGTGAATAGTATTCCAACTCACCATGATGAACGTTTCTGTTATTGACACACATTTTGAGAAGGTCGAATAAAGATATTTTACATTCAAAATGTGATCCAGCCTATCCATCAATTAGCTCCCATTCGGGGTCGTGGGGGGGCTGGTGCCGATCCTAGCTTTCATTGGTTGAGAGGCGGTGTAACACACTGGGCTGGTCGCCTGCCATTCACAGCGTTGACATATCAAGACAGACAACCAACTTACAGGCAATTCAGAGTCTCCAGTTAACCTAACGAGCATGTCTTTGGAGGAAGCTGGAGAGAACCCACACATGCACTGGGAGAACATGCAAACTCCACACAGAGAGGCTCCTGTCAGACGGGGATTCAAACCAGCAACCTCCTGAAACAGCGCTAACCACTGCACCACTGTGCATCCCTGCCTGAGTCCATGAATCAATAAAGTGTGCAGATTTGTTTCGTTACATAAAGCTTTTACACGCAGCATATCATTTGTGGTAGAAACGAGGAGTATTTATGTAATTAACAACCGAGCCAGAGCATCCAGTTCTGCTGCTAGCGTTGAGGGTTAGTCACAAAAACCAAAAATATCCCACAGGGCCTCCGCACACATACACACACTGAGAGGGCGGCATAGCTGGAGACCGCCTGTGTCCTGAGAATCCCACAAAGTAACAGGAAGTAACCTGTAACTCATCCATGTGGGTTCATCCTCTGTGTGGTCCTCTTTTTGAAACTACTGGTCTCCCAGTAGGGTTATTTATTTATTGAATCCTGAGGCTGTTAAGGGCTCTGAAACAGGATACCACAAGTGTGTCTCTTCTTCAGTTCAAAGCTATTATAAACCCTTCAAGTTGTCAACACAGTTCAGGTTTTTGTGTTACATTTCCCCTGAATTAAACCTGGGTGACAGGGGGCGCAAGTTGAGGGAAATTAACATAACAGTGCACGTTAAAAAAGGGGTCAAAGCGAAAGTGGGCCCACTGGGTTTAGCTCCTCACGGCCACCCACTGATGAAGTGGAAGTCACTTGAAAGGCTAGACAACAGAATAAATGGGAATGGAAAGTGGCCAACAGAAGGAAATCTCTTCCAACACACACAAAGCTCAGGTAAGTGTGCTCTTGACCACAACACTGGTTTGAACCAATGATCTCCAATGTATTGCCATATAATGCAGTAATAGTACAACAGTTGTGTGTTTACCTAATTTCATGGCCAGAGAGTCTCAAAGTCTCAAGGTATTTTACTCAAACTACTTGGTAATCTCAGGTCGCTCACCGTGGTTTGAGAGGAGAAGTCAGGGAAACACTTCATTCATCATTTAGGGGGAATGGATACAACAACATCTTTCTAGAAGTTGAAAAATATCAGTCTGTACCAAGTGGGTGTACCATTTGGCACTGACTAAAGAGCTTAGCTGCTGGCACGATCCCTCAAAATATTACTTTTACAATTATTATAATCATTGCAAATTTTGTGGCAATTGACTTGTTCCTAATGGAGACACAGAAGGAAAGCGGGTGTTGAAGTGATCTAGTCTCAGGTTCCTGGGGGTTGTAGGAGATGCTGCCTACATAAATCTTTGATTGATGGATTCACACTTTGTTTTAACATTGTGATTTTAAGTGCTTTGTGTGTTTGCATGTGTGGTCCTTTCTTCTGCTGCCTGAAGCAGAGTCGACGCTCTACCTACCACACTGGTGCACTGAACAGGCAAACCCCCTTTCACCTGTTTGCTGCCAACCTACCACAGTCAGACACTCTGCCTCAGACCCACCGCACTGTATGCCACTCAGTAGTCAAGATATTTGACTTATAATTCCAACACACTCTCTGCAGGTATTTTGTACAGGATGTGAATCAAAGAAGCCGGGGTTTCAGAGCTTTCATTTTTCAGTATCTCGTTTTTGTGTTTGTGCATGAGAACACCATATCCAGATTTCAGAAACCCAGCTAAGCCCTTACCCCGATTTAGAGAAACTCCAATTTGGCTACCTTCAGAATGGGATACTGTAGCATGTATACTTCCTACCCCGGTTTCTAAAAGCTGCTGACTACCTGTGCAGGCATATCAGCACAACAGCACAACAAACATGGCGGCAGCAACAAGAGCATCTTAATTCTGGAACGACGAATTCTGGAAGAAACTTAGTATTATCATTTGGTAATGAATGAATTAAATAAAATTGGAAGTTGAGATGGAAGAAAGCATCGAATTGCTGACCTGTTCAAGTCTGTGCTGGACCCGCTACAGGACGCCGGTTTCCCAACATGCACATTGGAGCAAGTCGGGTCATGTTGGAACATTACTACAGGGGAAAAACATCTGAACAAAACCAGGATACTAGTATTTATCTTGTATGCAGGGATATGAATAACCAGGTTTCTCTGCATGTAAACATACATCCTGAATATGATATAATCCCAAGGCTCATAACTGGGATACTCAAGTCCATGTTAACTCACTGATTTTACACCAGTCATGCTTAGGCAATTTATAGAATCTACATTTGCCATAAATGAGCATTTGTTGGTGAGAACCAGAGACAGACGAAGGCCTTACAGCAGTTCTCTTCAGCAGTGCTGCTTGTGTATAAAAACCGAAGCCTCCACCAACCACCGAGCCACTGAAGATCCTGAAAGCGTTCCTGTGTGACTACAGTGTTGACGTGAAGACAGTGGTGTTCTCAGGCTGGAGCCCCTCGGCCATCCACAGCTTCCTTCCAATCCAGTCCCTCTGAGTCCTGTTTGTTTTTCTCTTTAGTCAGAGCATGGTGTGCGGACGGGTCTCTGGCCAGAGGCGGGCTGGGAGGAAGGAAGCTGCTGACCACAGAGTGTCCTGCGGTCCATCATACATCCTGTTAAAAATCTTGCCTGTAGAGATAAAACAATCTCCCCCTCTCTTTATATTTCTAACACACAAGTGACCTCCTGACCTTGGCCTAAATTGCTTGAGCCGTTCCACAGAATGTCAGACGTCCTCCAAAACATACGTTGCTAAAAATATCCTAAATTCTTTCCTGACATACTGTGGTCTTTACTTTATGCTATATGAAGTGCAGCATATATGCAAACAGTTCAAAGCACACATTGTGCTGTGAAAACATTGGCACCCTGTTCTTCCTCTTTGTATCTCTACATTTTGAGGTGCTCACACAGGAGAAAATGCTGCCACATCGTCATTGTTTTTAATGCAGTTTTATGATCATTTGGCTTGATTCAATTTCTGTCACACAAGGGACAATGTCAGCATAAAGGATGGCTTTTTTTGACTCTGTCAGCAGTCAGGAAAATGGCTTTATAGAGGTTTTGTTGGCGGTAACAAGAAGGGGGGGGGGGGGGGGGAATGCGTATGTTGAAGAGATGAGATGGGAGACAAAAGACAACCTGAAAGAGGCTAGCTGGTTAAAAGCCACAAGGGCTAATCGACCATCCCAGCGATCCTTTCACCCACGCAGCTTGTGTAGCCAGCGAGGCCCAAAGGTAATACTTAGGGATGCATGGATACACAGCCAAACTGGCTCTGAAACAATGTGGGAATAAGGGGAGAAACCAGGAAACTGGACTTTTTTCTTTCTTTCTTTTGCTTTACCAAGTAAAGATGTGAGACTATAAATGTTAGCCAGTGCGTCCTGGGGCATCACAAGACTTTACCGGACAGATGCACCACATTCAAACCAGTAGAACTGACCAAGTTTTAAACCTAGAGTTGAACTTTTAGTTTAACAGCTAAGAAAACAGGTTGAAGGAGTTATTCTTTTATGTATTTTTTACAATGTCTGCCTCATTGAGTAGTGTTCATGGATGCTCTCTCTCGATGGTGTTCGCCGTCTGCATGTCCCTCATCCTTATTTTGAGCACCGGATACTCAGAAGCGTCTGTATACCACATAAAAGGTAAGAACGTCTGTATTTCTATGCACCAGCTTGGCCCCCTGGGGTGCTCACTTCCTGCCTGGGGAAGCATAACTGAGCGCTTGCTTTGTGAATTTTGGGACCTCTAGCCAAACTCCAACTGGCGGACCATGGACTTTGTCCTCTATACCCTGACCTTGTATTCAGCCTCACAGGGCTCCTCACTGCAGATCAGTGTGTTCCTGTTGATCCCCTCTGCAAGGTGACTGACAAACCCCCATGAGGATAGCCTGCAGGAAGGGGAGGATAAATCATTGTGGTCGCTAGATTTAGCCTGACCTCCTGCAGCTCGGCTTTATGTATTGTCCCATAAAGACGTACACTCACAGAAATCTGCCTCTTGCAAAAAATGTATTTTTTTCAACCAGCCTTGTCTTTCCTATACTTGGGAATAGAAAGACAGGAAAGAGTCCCAATAAGAAATCAGTTATCTGACATTTTTTCTTTGGCATGGAGCTTCATCAACTACATAGGCATAGGCATACTTGTTTTCAGATTAGTTAATTTTGAAAGCTTTTCATAAGAAGCAGAGACAATGCTGTGACTGCCTTTCAAATGGTGTTAATGTCTTTAGCCCAGCAGAGGACACCTGGACAGTTTAAAATGGTCTCAGCACTGTCTGCACCAACATGTCATAGAAGAGAGCACAACATCTGACCACACTAGAAGTGCATTTGCTTTTATATCGGTGCATAAATATGTGCACAATCCACTAATGTTTGTTTTTATCCAGGCTCAGAAAAACACTTGATTCGGCCTATCAGGCATTTTTTCTTCTTGGACTGGTGTTCTTAAGATTCTCAAACAGTAATCACGTCAAGTTTAAATGAAAGCTCTCTGCTTCTTAAACACAATACATTTATATACGTATATTCATTGTGTTTTTCTTGCAGGCATTTGTTCATATAAAGACAAGTTCTACAAACCCGGAGAGTCTTTCCGGAAAGGCTGTGACAAATGTTTCTGTCATGACTTTGGAGCCTATTGCTTTCCGTGAGTAGATGTCTTCTTTTGGGTCATATCATTTAATTTCTTATTGGAATCATTTCATGCTCTTTAACTCATTTATGTCTCTTTCCAGACCAATGAAGCCCACCTCCTGGCCCAGGAAGTGTCGTTGGGTCCGAACAGAGTGCGGCTACTCAGTTGTTTATAAAGAAGACCCGCTGAAGCAGTGCAAAGCCTACAGCTGGATAGGATGACACACTACACCGTACAAAGCTGTTTTAAAATGTGGAGATGAAATGCATGTGAATGTGGCTCTGTTTATATCAATGTCACTTTATGTTTTTGTAAAGCTTAGTCTTGGTAGTATCACTGTGTGTGTTGTTCTTTGTGCATATTAAAGTCATTGCACTGCAGTTTAACTGGTCTTGTTGATTTGAATAAGCTGTTCTTTAACTCACCAATTTCACCTTTAAAGGTCACATATCCTCCTCCTCTTCAACCAGTGTAAATAAGTCTCAGAGCTCCACAAAACATGTGTGTGAAGTTTCTTGTTCTAAGTCCACTCTGATCTAGTATTTGATCATGTCTATAAACCCCTCTATTTCAGCCCTGCTCAGAACAGGCTGTTTCTGTGTCTGTACCTTTAAATATGTAAATGAGCTGTGTCTGACCACGCCCCCTCTCTGGAAGGTCTTGGGTGTACTCGGGCTTTCTTGCTCCATGTCCTATTGTTGACGGTGAGAAGGAAGACTCAGAGGGCAGAACAAACACCTAGCTGTGGGAGTGTCACCCACCAGGGGGAGGGGCTACTGCCCGTTGTGATGTCATGAAGGGTAAATCTCCAAACAGCCTGTTTGAGCACACATTTTCTGAAAAGTGGAACAGGTAAAAGACGGAGAGGATGGACTTTTCTCATCATTGGGGGGTTTGTAGACAGACTAGAGACACATATTAGATGATAGATAGTTAGAGGAACATTGTGAAGTGTATTTTGCAGAATATGTGACCTTTAACATTCAATTTGAAAAGCTCCACTTTATTTTAGCTTCAAATTAACAACTTTAAACTGGCAAGACCTGTAATGCTTGTTTGTGTAGCAACAAATAATAAAGAATCATCAAATGAACTCCTACTTATTGGACTCAAAGGTCTCATAAGCTACACAAGCAGGGATCTATGTGGAAAGATGCCTAATCAGCATAAAGTGCAATATTAATATTCTCTGGTGAGGGACAACTTTTTACAGCAATTCACAAATCAAAGTGAGTGAAAAAAAAAACAATCCTCCAAATACTTCTGTCAGCTCTGTGCATTTCTAACATCTTACAGAGAGAGTTTGTGGCTGGACAATCTGAGCTGATCGATTTCTTGCTAAAAGCATTATAAGAATGACAGGCACATGGGTATGAAGATGAGGCCTGCGAGGAATTTAGGAAACCATCATGAGGTCAGCCAAGGATGGCGGAGGCACTGCGCAGCAGTGGCTCTCCTCTCTGGATAAAAATCCAACATGTGGCGTAGAAAGTCTGAGAATTCAGAGGCCTCCTCCAACAGGAAGTGGTATTTCTCCACCAGAACATCGTAGAGGCTCCAGAGCCTCAGTGGACCAACACGACATAGGTCACCTGGGGGACAAACAACAGGGTTACAACAATGGTTTCCATGCATTCATCCACACATTCATACATCCACTTTGAGGTTGCAGCAGGCAAAGTCAATCCAGACCTTCTTCTCTCCAGCAACATATCCATTCCCTCCTGAGAGATCCTGACATGTTCTCATTTTGGATGAGCTATATCATGCATCTGGCAGTTTCTGGATCTACTCTGCGTTCTCCCACCAGTTAGTCCTGCCTGGAAATCTTCAAAAAGAAGAACCTGAGGATGCATCCTAATCAGATGCTTGAACCACACTAACTAAGAGAGAATGTGAAGAAGCAGCTCTTTTTCTCCCAGCACCCATCAGATATCTGAGCTCCTTGTCAGTCTGGTAGAGCCAAACCACCCTGTGATGGAAACTAACTTCAGGCGCTTCCTCAAGCTCGATCTTTCTGTCACTAACTAAAACTCATGACCAAAAATTAAACTGGGAACACAAGTGGAAAATCTAAATTTGCCCTCCAACTTTCTCCTTACCACTGTTTAGTATCGCCAGCATTTCTAGGCAGATATCAATTAAAAGTAAAGTTATGCAACCATACAGCATCCACAATGTAAGGGACGCTATGGACTTACCTCTGCGGCTGAAGTAGTCTGCAGAATATCTGCCCGAAAAGGCAAGAGCTGGTGGGATTTTACCCAGCAGCTTCATGATCTGGGCTATATGGTCTGTGATAGATGTAAACATTTACAGTACACATTAGCATACAACACTTACAGCAATTACAATGCAGCTACAGTGTAATCTCCTTTATCTTTGCCAGTGTCAGCACACTGTACTTAACATACCTTCCTCCAGGGAAATGGACTCGTTTGCTTTGGGTTCAAACAGGGAGTCTCCAGTGACCAACTCAAAGGCCTGAGAGAGCGCAAAATAAACAAACGCATGAATAAAGATGAGATGAGTGGCCGAGTGCGCATAGAGTACAACAATCCCAACAAGTGGGAAAGATATTTCCCACTCCAGTAGGTCTTACAAAATAACTCAAAAGCAAATGCAATATAAAGGTAGGGTGTTTGATAGTTTTAAGAATAAATGTGGGGTTCCTCAAAGCTCAGTTTTGGGCCCATGAAAGTTTATTTTGCGCAAAACAATCTACTGTCAACACAAAGTCAAATTCATATAATTACAAAATTATTCAATATAGAATTGTTCAATTAAAATGTTGAGACAAAGCGAGTGGATGTAATTGGTTTTTAACAAGATCCAACATCACACAGAGATTTTGAAACTGAACGAGTGTCTTAAGCCTAAAGGGAATAATCTTTGATATTGATCTTCATAAATCAAGCTTTACTTTACACTTTATACTTCTAAAATAACCTTTTATTGGTTTTGTAATCCCTACACCTTTGACACAAATATAAATTGTAAAACAAAATTCCTCACTGACCGGTTTGTTCATTTTTGTGGCAACTAACTGAGAGCAGATTGCACTCGGCCTGTATCATTACACACCTCTTCCAAGCGTGTAGGAGAGCCTACGCAGGCTGCAAACTTCATAAAAGACCAACTGTAAAGCTTGTGTTTTTAGTTTGTCTGTTTTATGCTTCTGTTGAAATGTTGTGATGTAACATTTGTTCTCATCGAAAGCATCCAACCCCTTCCCTTCCTTTAGTGTAGGAGAACCCACGCTGGCTGCAAAACTTGTGAAAGATGGACTTTAGAGAAAGTGTTTGGTTTGTTCATTTTAGGCTTCAAAAAACAAGATGGTGCATCATTTGTCCTCACCAAAGAATGCATTTCAATTAAGATCCTCTTCAATAACACACCTCTTACTTTGACATGCTTATTGTATATGTGTGGCTTTGGACTCTTTTCTGGTTAGTCACATATGAAACAAAATCTGGTTCTTGACACAGTCAGGTCCAAGTGTAATTTACATTAATAACAAGGATCTCAATATTCCACACAGTAAGACGATCACCCCTCACCATGCAGGCGACGCTCCAGATGTCCGCAGGTGGGCCGTACTCAGATCCCAGTAAGACCTCCAGTGAGCGATACTGACGAGTCTGAATCTCCTCACAGAAATGTTTGTACTGGTTCAGACGAAAAGGAAGAGAAAAACATGGCAGAAAGTACTTAGGTTTGTCAGGATGTTTTTATGTCAGGTGAGAAAAAAAAGATGTGCACCACCCAAAATTAAGCTTCATTATTACTACACAGCCAGAGATTTATTGCAGCCTCTTTATACTCCTAATATGAAATTTGAGTCTTGAATTGATGCCTTTAAGTTAAGTTTCTAGGGACATACTTTGATGGGACATAGTCTCTTATAGAGATAGAGCAATGGATGAGTGTACAAGAGCTTTGTATGTAAAGTATAGAGCGAGTACTGACCACCCAGCAGGAGCTGCCCAGGTCAGCGATCTTCACTGTAACATTCTTTAAACTGTAAGGGCTCGACTGCTCCTTCACTGAAAGAGACAACAAAAAAATCATTCATTAAAACATTTTACTCATTCAGAGAAAAAATGTCAGCCCAGCAAATGTCTTGACCCCTAACATTTGCAATACTGGAGCCAATAAGATAAACCCCTGTATGTCTAAAAACACTGTGCCTGCTGAGTTGGCATCTTTCCCGGTCAGTACAGAGAAGGAAGAGGAGGAGCTGCTGCCCCCTGATGGTTCTATGTGGGACAGTTCTTGATGAAACAGCAGGACGTTCTCAGGCTTGATATCCGTGTGGATGATTTTACACTGAGTGTGGAGGTAGTCCAGACCCTGCAGGACCTAGAGAGACCACAGAACAGGAAGGCTGATGGTGTTAACTTTTTTCTGACCATCAACTCAAACATGTGGAACTAGTGTTTTTTAGCAGCTCTCTACCTGAGTGAGTATTTGTTTGACCGAAGGCTGCGACAGTCCTGGGTTCCCAAAACAAAGCTGCCAGCTCCTCAGGTCAGGTCCCAGCAGCTCCAGCACCAGGCATATATCTGATCACCAGGTATCAAGGTCAGTTTTGACACACCTGTGAACTATTGGCTGAGCAGTTCTTACCGTTTGATGCAATACAATATTGTTATCCCTGGAAACATTTTCTGAGTTTGCAAAAAGGATTATTGATTTTGGTGTCAGATAAAGACAGTCCGCTGAAGGATACGGATCCCGTTGACTCCGGCTAGCTTGAACTCGTCCAGCAGTTGGACAATTCTTCGACTTGAGGGGTGACGGCTCGTGGGACCACTGGCCTGTTTGAGGAGAGAGAAGAGGTGGACGAGTAAGAAGTTGAGAAGGAAGGCAATAAAAAAATGCATCCAGAGAAAAATCCAGGGAAACATTTTGTATGTCGATAACGATAGACTGTACTTAAAGCGGGTAGGGAGGTCCGAGTGGATAATAAGGTAGAGAGAAGTCAAAAGAGAGAAGGACAAGCAAAAGGTCACCAACACATCGTAGGAGCGCGAGTTCATCCTGTCCGGCCTGAGTGAAGTCAGCTCCGCTCTTCAGCACCTTCACAGCAACGCGCAGACCGAGTCTGCAAACACAGACACCACATCAGATGATCATTGACAAGACACTCTACCCCCTTCCTCATACTGATCATTTTTATACAGCTTCTATTAAACCTACGTGTGATCCAGACACAGCCAGACGGTGGAGAAATAGCCCCAACCAAGCTTGGAAACCACCTGGTACCTTCTGTTCAGGATGTCACCTATCTGCACAGGGTGGTACCCACCTATAGGAGAAAAAAGGGGGAAAGTCAGAATACACAAAGTAATCATTATCTTTTTTTATTTGCTATCTTTCTTGGGTTTGATATGTGTGTGTGTGTGTACAGTTTGTGACACATTATAATTTTCATCTGCTGTTCTGAGAGCTTTAGAGATGGAGGGCTAAAATGTGACACTAAAGCTATTTCTGGTATTACGACTTCCTCTGAGCCGTAACATGTCTGTAGTGAGTAATACATTCAAATCTGCCAGCGGGACACTGAAAAATGATGATGCATAAGCCTGTATCAGCTCTCTTTCAGCCCGCGTGACACACACTTCTTGGACATTGTCAGAGATCTGGAAATTGAATCTCTTTTTCTATTAAAAATGAACATGATATGAGCTGGTTTATGATTTATTACTGTGTCAGGTATCTGTGGTATCACATACTCAGCAGCTTATCTGCCTCAGAGAGGTACTCGCAGAGTCCCGCACAGCTGGCAGGGAGAGAAAGGAGGAACAGAGGGGACCAAGGTCAGAGTGGGTGACAAGATACTGCAGGTTCAAGAGATTTATACGAAGAGGGGAACAAGGCTGGGTGAGGCGAAGACAGCCATAAGAAGTACTTTAAGATCACAACAAATTGAAAATGTGTTTTATGGAGCGGAAAGTTCAAGATCTGAATGTTTGAATGTTGCCTCAAAAGGGAGTGTATCAAAGGATTTACACTGTATCATCTAAGAGGTAATATTCAAGTATGTAGGTGATCAAAATGGAAAGGATTTTTTTTTAAATAGTTTAAAGATCACATATTATTCTCCTTTTCAACCAGTGTAAATAAGTCTCAGAGGTCCCCAAAACATGTGTGTGAAGTTTCTTGTTCTAAATCCACTCTGATCCTGTATTTGATCATGACTATAAACCCCTCTATTTCAACCCTGCTCAGAACAGGCTGTTTCGGTGTCTGTACCTTTAAATATGTAAATGAGCTGTGTCTGACCACGCCCCCTCTCTGGAAGGGCTTGGGTGTCTCGTTCTTTCTCGCTCCATGTCTTATTGTTGACGGTGAGAAGGCAGACTCAGAGGGCAGAACAAACACCTAGCTGTGGGAGTGTCACCCACCTGGGGGAGGGGTTACTGCCCTTTGTGATGTCATAAAGGGAAAATCTCAAAACAGCCTGTTTGAGCACACATTTTCTGAAAAGTGGAGCAGGAAAAAGACAGAGAGGATGGACTTTTCTCATCATTGGGGGGTTTGTAGACAGACTAGAGACACATATTAGTGTTAGAGGAACATAGTGAAGTGGATTTTGCACAATATGTGACCTTTAACCTCTTCTCAAATGTGTGAAAACAAGTTGCGGTTTTGAAGCATTATTTTGTTTTGTGATGTGTTAAGCCCTTTAGATTCCAATTATCCCTTTGGGTTCCAAATGTTGCAACATTTGATTACATGTGAGTCTCCATGTAATTACAAGTCAAAGACATGGGGAGTTCATTTTTTTATACATAATTTTAATTGCTGTTGTGATCCCTAAAGTGTGGTAACATTAGCAGTCAGTTAATGAGAACGTGTGCAGATGAAGGAGTGAGTAAAGAGTCTCTGCCGTACCATAACAGTATTCTCTGGGGTCTTCAGAGTCCTGGCTGTCCTTCGGATTTAGCTGCCCGTGGCTCTCTAGGGCCTTGATACTGCAAGACGACACATTTCCATTCCTGCAGACACACATACACAAAAGTGATTACGGCGCATGCATCCTTTGCATACATCATGTGCATGCATGTGTGTCATTTGGGCCAGCTGGGATACTGGAACTACTTTTGGAGTTTCCCACAGACTCGTCCCGCCGTGGAAACTTGTCACGCTGCCATGCAAAGATAGAGCGAGCATCGGAAGTTGCACTATTTCTGACTCAGCTGTAAATCATTTTGCGGGCATGCTCACGCAACCTGATATAAGTCTGAATCCCAGCTGCTTTGGACATCTACTGTTGCGGTTGGTGGAGAAGTTTTAGTGTCGTCATGTCTGAAAATATTGATTTCATTTCTGTTGAGCTGGAATGACTTACAGTGGAGTGTGATAGGAGATATGTCACCTTTGTTTTTAGAATCAAGGAAACATGTGGAGGACTTCGAGTTTCTCTGATAGTCCAATGGTTAATCTTTGACTCTTCTCCTGCTGAATTTGTCACATCAGACTTTGACGTGCTTTCTGAACTCTGAACTGCCCTTCAACTCCTCTTCCCGATGCCTGGCATGTTTAATTGGCACCATCACTCAGCTAAACTTAACTGCTCTAGACTAGAGTTGCTGAGGCCATGGAAAAAAAATCTAACAAGACCAGCTGCAAATAAAAACAAGCATTTATTCAAGGTTGCATCAAAAACATGAATAAAACATTTAACGGCATGGTGTGTTTCATGTTTCACAAAAAGTTAAAGGACTAAGTTGCTTCAAGTGTTTCACTTGCCATGAGTAAAAGGAAGAATAAATATACTTACATATGATCTTGCTGCGTAGCTTTACATGCTGTGTAGGGACTCCTCTGCATTTTTGTGTTTCAGCAGTTGCAGCCTGCAGACACAGCAGCCAGTGGAGCAAGGTGTGTTGGAATAAAAAAAATGGCAAATACCTTCAGTCTGAGGAAGGTAGAGGTCAAATCCTTTGCATAATGTAAGGACAGATTCAGATACAGTAGCAAAGGCAAGTGACACTGCAGCTCCTTTAATGTTACAAACTGTTGAGCAGCTGAGAGGCAGAGGAGGGGGGGGGGGGGGTGGGGGGGTGCTGGGGTCTTGTAGATCTCTCAGGGGACTGGGAGAGCCAGCAGCAGTCAGCAGGGTCCAAACATGGAAATCCTCAGCAGCCTCCAACTCTCTACTTGACAGGAATTTACCTGCTTCATTGTGAGATTGATATCCTCCACTCACTCCAACTCTGAGTCAACCTGGAGCATGATCTCTATTCCTCGATATCTATACGTCTGCCACAACAGAGAGCAGAGCGGCTGAAGATAAGAGGAGTGTCGCTTGAGTCCAAACACACTCAGGGAGGGGAGAGTGACAGCTGCTGATGTTTTTTGCTCTGGAGGTGTTTGACCTTTGAGCTGAAGGGATCACCGAGAGCTAAACCAGGCTCGAGAATGGGATCCACAACCTCCAACATGATATTAAGTGTCACAATAAAGGTTACCTGAGGAGAGGATTTTTTTCTTTATATTGGGCAACTGTTAATCACAGTCACATAGCAGACATGTCCCTGCATTGTAACGCTCACAGTGGGAAACTTAAAGGCTTGTTTACGGTGTACTGATGTGTTTCAGGTTGCATGTTGCTCTATAAGCATACAGAATCTTCTAAATTATAATCGTATTCATCCAAGTTGGATAGTCACTGAAAAGTCAATTGGTAGTAGAAATCTGGATGGGACGGCAGTTCAAACAATGGTTTGATAACCATCTATCTAGCTATCTATCTATCTATCTATCTATCTATCTATCTATATCTATCTATTTGAAGAATCACATTAGAATTAAACTTTTTCTTAACACTACTCGTTAAATAGTGTTACACATTAACTACGCCCCATTTCAGGTGCTGCATCCTTCAGACAAACAACAGACAGATTACGGCCGTCCAATTCCGTCCCATTTTGAAGGTTTCTTCAAGTGTGGCCACTGCGAACTGCAGGATTTTGCATTGGCTTCATTTTTCAACACCAGAGGTTGCTGCTTGATTCTGACATAACAATGGCATTAATTTTTAGAATTCAACTCTTGGTAATTGGAAATGTTTTATTTTAAAAACAATGAGACCAATCCTTTAAGTACAATTAGTGAGACTTCAAATCTCTTCCATGCCACAACGGTCGCCTAAAAAACAAACCTCCTATTTTGAGCACAGGAGAATCCCAGAAGCAGCATTTTGAACAATTAAAATCTTTGTAAAATATGTATCAGCGATGTGCTGGAACATTTGAGAACACAGTCGTGGGACATGATGACACAAACATTTGAAAGAACGCAGCCTTGCAGCAAAGATGAGCGTCTCATTGTTCAGACTTTGTTTGCACTGTGTGAAAGAGTTTTGAGTTTGACTCCAGTTTCATTCTAAATTGTGAGATCACAGGGCGTTTGAATTGTTGTTGGTGATTCTCTGTGATAAAATCTTTAAAAAAAGAACAATGTGTTGAAGAATTAACAAAGCAGTTTTTGGCTTTAGTGCGTGCAGGTGGTCTATCCTCCTGTGTTCGGCTATTAACGTCTAATGTTGGTCCAGTCGTAAGATGAAAAGCTTGTGCAGGCTGTTACTGTTTTCAATTTCAAAGAGCTGTAATAAGAGACCTCCCTCAGGGGGAAGGAAGCATGTGTGCATGTGTGTGTGTGCGTGTGTTGAGAGACATTATAACTGCACCTGCACACATCTAGATCACTGGGTTAGTAGGGAATAAATATCAGGCGGTGAGTGGATTATATCACAACGTACATTTGTTCCACTTTAATCCTTAAAATATAATTTAGATTTCTTAAATAACCAGACAAATTCATGTTCTTGTTACTGTATTTACATCATTTATATTATCTGGGGAGGAAAATCCTGTTGTTTGTGTTACAGAGGAGCCTCAAACCAACCAGGAGCACACACACACACACACACACACACACACACTCTCTCTCTCTCGCTCTACATGACCTTCAGTTTGGCCTCACTGACCCCCTCCGCTCTCTACAGTACCATACAGTGAAACGTGACCTGCATTCAGTTGCTATCATGCTTCTAATTTAAGACACACACACACACACACACACACACACACACACACACACACACACACACACACACACACACACACACACACACACACACACACACACACACACACACACACACACACACACACACACACACACACACACACACACACACACACACACACACACACACACACACACACATCCAGCTGGTCTATAGTTTAACTGTCTAACACACACACATACACGAGACAGTTTAGCGTAGCTCACAGAGATGTCATCACCCTCCAGCTGTAAGAAAAAAAAAAAATCACACATGGTTGTCACCTGTTTCACACGCTGGATGGCTGATTAATATTTGCAACCTTCTTTTTTTCCAATTCACATTCTCCCTTACTTGCACTTGTTTCTTTGAGTGAATCATTGCACTGATAATTACTGCATGTCAAAATGTAATCCACTGTGGAGTAGCTAGACTGTGATCAGAACATTTGAGTGAGGAGCGCTGGATACCTCTAACGATCAATTTCCGCCTTAGTTTTTTGGAATGAAAGGGAAGTAGATGTCAGGGCCGTTCTGGTTTGTGCAAAAGTTCAGAAGAAATGCATCTAATGACATCATAGTAACGCAGAAAGTCAAAGAACACTTTTCTATATTAGGAGCTTGATTGAGAAACTGAGGACATATTATACAGGATCATGGCAAAGTAAGTGGATTTGTGATTTGTAGCAAGAAATGTTTGAAGAAAACAAAGTATTTTCTATTTTGTATTTTGGTTTAAGTTGTAATCTTGCAACCTGCATTCATGTGAGCTTTCCCACACTCGCTGGACACATAAAGAGCAAGTTAAAGCAGAAGCACATTCATAATTTAAACAGATTTAGTTTTTTTGGATTCACATCTCTGACAAACATTTGGGATATTGATGCATCTGGTTGCAAATCGGCATTAAAAAGAAAAACAGTCAAACGTTGTGATCGCCATTTTCCTGTGCACAACAGCCTTACAGTGAGAGCGGCCACTCGTTTACAACACAACAGAGAACAGAGTGAACTACACCGAGTAGATTTAGAGGGAAGTATCCAAATAAAGACTCAACAAAAGGACGACACTCGGGCAAATCCCAAAGTTTGTCTGTGGACTCAACAGGACTTGCAGATTAAACTATTCGAGTCCAGCTTGAGGCTCATGCATGCTTTAGCATCCCCAGCTGTGTGTGACAGGTGTTCATACTTTCTCATTTATAGGATGCTGAGAGAGAGAGGACGTCCAAATATAGTTCCCAGCCTCGTGCACCGATGACAGGATGAAGTCTGCGTGCTAAAGTGGCTATGCTAAGTGCACTCATCAGACTGAATATGTTACTTACTCATGAAAACACTACGTACATCAGAGAGTAAGTACAACACAAGCAAGGATCTAGAATAAAGGGAACAATGTCAGTAAGAGCAAATGATCAGCTTTGAGTCTGATTGGACACACAGGTGCTGACAGGAAGTGACCAGAGGCAAAGCACAACATTGAGGGCAGTTCTTGAGAGCTCTAATCAGTATAGAAACCATCTTATAAGTTGTCGTTATCAAACAAAAACCATCGTCACAACCATCATCATCATCATCAATGATATGGAGACCATCATCATTAAGTTAGTAGGTATTCTTGAAAGAGCTGGGTCTTTAGCTTTTTCTTAAAAGTGCAGAGGGACTCTGCAGATCCAATGGAGTTTTAAGTTCAAATTGCAACAAAGTTCACTCTTAAGTGAGGGTGCAAACTCCAAACTGCAACATCTTGTACTAAAACACTGAGTTAAAGTGCTGTCACACTCGCACAAAACTCCTGAAAACATCCTGAAGTTTTCATTGGATGAACGCAAACAGCTGAACATTCACTCAGATTTGATCCAGAGTGTCTCCTGCCAGCCTCCTAGTATTTATTCTGCAGCAAGCCTGAGTAAGCTGATGTTTGTACCAGGCTGTAAACATGTTTATTCATGCTGTAAAAACTGATTTTTTTTGCCTGTTGTGTGTATATGACTTCCAGTGTTCCTGGAGCCAGCCTCTAGTGGACACTTGAGTAGGATGTAGGATTTTTGCACTTCAGCATTGGCTTCATTTTTCGAGACCGGAGGTTGCCGCTTGGTTTAACAAGATCAAAATAAAAACAAAAAGCAGCTTGGGAAGACTGATAGTGAGCGTGGATCAGCAGCGTCAGATTTGTGAAAAGAAATTCAAAGTGAACTCACAAACAGCACAAAGGTTTGTTTACACACTTTTTTTTCTCGTCTTGGAACTGCAAAACAGAAATGCACAAACGAGACATTGTTGAACACTGGGACCACTTTATTGCATCACATTAAGCTGCTGTTAGGTTTGTCCTATTGATTAGTTGGAGAACACTAAAGTCAGAGTTACTTCAGAACAGTAATTATCTACAGAATCAGGGCCGAACATCAGAGAGGGATTTTTGTATTCCCAAAGAAATCCACAGGCAAAACACGAGCGCATGGATAAAACAAACTGATGAAAAACAACTTGTTCATGTACAGAATAAAACCTCAGTCAAAACCATGGTTCTCAACGGCTTCTGAAGTAGAAGAAAAGTATAAAAAGAAGAGAGGGGAAATGTGGCACGGCTTCAAGCCTTTTTCCGGACGTCACCAGGTGATGGAGATCTGACAGGAAAACGAGTTCAGCAACAATTAGTTTTTACATGTTTGAAAAATAACATGAAACAAAAACAAATAAATAAAAAAATAAATTAAATTGGATAAAACTAGATAAAGACTTTCCCAGCAGCTCTCT